CCCCCCCCCCCCCCCCCCCCACAGCACCCCTCCCCCCTCGGTACGGTGCCCCGCCGCCACGGGTCCCTCCCCCACAGTGCCCCTCTCTTCACTCCACCTACACAGGCAGCCACTTCACTCTGCCCTAGCAGCTTGGGCCCCGTGGAAACCTGACTGCTTCCTCTGCCCCTTTCTCTCCCGGGGCTTGGAGCTAGCACCACACTTTCCCTCCCCCAACCCTGTCGACCTGGGGGGGTTTCTCCTCTCACAGGGTCTTGAAGGCAGCTCCCAGCCTGTGTCTCCTGCCCATAAAGGCCCTTTTCTTTTCTCTTCAGGGTCTGGGGAGCAGATGGGTGCCATGGGTTCAATTCCCATGTGATCAGCCTGGGCTTTGGGGGACAAGCTCCCCTCTGAAAAGTAGCCAGGATTCCAGTGTGCTCAGACCGCAAGTGGTGCAGGGCCAGGGTGGACTGGACAGTGACCTGGGGAGTCTGTCTTTACTCTGTAGTCAAGAGCCCCGCAGAGGGCCCGGCGCGGGGCGGGGGGTGCTCTGCCCTCCGCTCCCCTCCTGTGGCAACCCCCTGCCCGGACCCCTGCGTGTCCCCTGCCCACAACGAGGGATGCGTCTGCTCCTGCAGGGGCCGGAGTGGGGTACCTCCTCTACAGTGAGTTCCGTGCCTCCACGAGTAGGTTCGTTTCCCGTCACTGCTGCAACCAATGTCCACAGACTCAGTGGCTTCAAACAACACATCTTTATTCTCTTACAGTTCTGGCGGTCAGAATTCTGAGATCAGTTTCACTGGGCTAAAGTCAAAGTACCAGCAGGGCTGGTTCCCTCAGGAAGCTCTGAAGGGAGCATCCATTTCCTTGCCTGTTCTAGCTTCTGTGCGTGCCTGCATTCTTCAGCTCTGACCCCCTCCGGCTGTATCTCCTACTTCCTCTCTGACCTCCTGCTTTCCTCCCGTAAGGATCCCTGTGATTACATGAAGCCCACTGGGGTAAACTGGGAGAGTCTCCTGGTCCAAAGATCATTAATGTAATTATATCTGCAAAGTTCCTTTTGCCTGATAAAGTAATATTCATAGGTTCCTCAGATAACAACACGGACATCTCGGGGGGCCACTATTCAGCCTACTACAACTAGGCTGCAGAACGGACTGCCTCACGGTGCTCCAGGTATTTCAACGACTGGGTGAAAAAGGCTGGGGCTTTTCTGTTTTGGGTTCCGCAGGGTCCTTCCTAACCTTGTATTTCTAAGGTCTAGGCTTCACCAACCCTCCTTTTCAACCACAGAAACTCACTGCGATGTCTCCTTGAAAGTCAGGTGACAAGTCTAAATCTAAGTGCTGGTGAGGGGTGCAGGGCCAGCCAAGAAGCCCCCGAGGGTGCCTGCCTTCAGCCCACACCCTGCCGGCCGCAACAAGCCCCTGGCCGGGAAGGGACACAGAGAAGGGTCTGGGGCCTGCCGAGGGTGCCGGGGAGGCCCCGAGACATGTGAGGCCGGCTAGGACAGTGCACGGCGGCCAGAGCTGAGGCGTGGCTGCAGTGCCATGGGGGCAGAGGAAGAAGCTGGGGGCTGTGGTCCCGGCCTACAGAGATGGTACAGGCCGTGGCTGGGAGTGGCTCTGAAGTTGGTGAGAGAGCATCTCTGCCCTGTGGCATCTGGGGGCAAGGGCCTCACCAGATAAGTGCAGCTCCAAAGCCCCAGGCACTGGGCTTTTTCTTGGTACCGAGAGAGTGGTGGGGGCAGGGGCGGGGCAGCGGCAGAGCGGGAAGGCAGGCAGCCTCTCTTGCTACCTCTTCTCCATGTTCTGCATCTGCAAGCTGAGGGACGTGAAGCTGGCCAGGAGGTCGGTCACTTCATCCACCTGTGGGACAAAACCAAGGCCCTTGTCACAGGTGCCACGACAGGCCCAGGTGTCTCGGCCCCCAGATCTCCACCCCAGGGCCACAGACGTGGAGGGTAGGCATGGCCTCTCGTCCCAGGACATGTGGTGGCTTCACTGTGGTAACTACGGAACAGCCGCCCAACCGATAATCCTTGACTCCAGGTGGTCTCAGACTGCCCCAGAGACGAGAGCCACGGGACATGAGGAGCTTCAAAGGAAGTGGACAGAGGCTTTGAGGTCCACAGTGAGCAGAAGCCCCCAGCCGTGGCCTCTCTCTATGGGAGCGGCTAGCCATGTCACAGCACGGAGGGATTGGCCCCGGGCTCCTGCCAGGCACCGGGCCGGGCCCTGCAGCTGCCGCTCACCTGCTCTCTGGTGCTCGTCATCTGGAGGCGGGTGCAGAGGCTGTCCAGCCGTTCCCGCTGCTCGTGCCGCCCCAGGCGCTCCAGGTACTCCCTCAGCATCTGGATGATCTGGAACGAGGGGTGGGGCTGAGCCGCTCGGGTTCTAGCTAGGCGGCCCCCAGAGCACTGCCAGTGGAGCAGAAGCCAAACGGGGTCGGCCTGAAGCACCCAGGAACCCTCGGGCTGGAGGCAGCACCTGCCCAGTGCTTGTTTGCTGCTGTTGGCCCAGCACGAGGGGCACTCACCTGCTTCACCTCCAGCCGCACAGCCTCCAGGCACTGGGAGTGGCCTTCCTGCAGGATGTTCAGCTTCGACTTGGCCAGGTGCAGGGGCGTGCGGCCAGCCCGGTCCAGGGCATCCACGCGGGCCCCTGCGGGAGCAGGCCAAGATAAGCACCGGGGGGCGTGAGGGCAAGGGAGGAGGGCAAAGGGGAAGGGAGCACATACCTCCTCGTAGCAGGGTAGTGATGACAGGGACATGGTTGGTGCAGGCCGCTGAGGAAGAAGAACAGGGACCTGAGAGTCCAGGACACCAGGGCTTGGCCCTGCATACCCTTCCGAGGGAGCAGGACTGTGACTCCCAAGTGTGCCTGCTTTGGGTCACACCTCCAGAGACGGCATCACCAAGGCAGCCATGGGGCGGGTCCAACTCCCTCCCTGTACAGCTAGGGAGACTGAGGCTGGAAGATGGGCCCTGACTCACCATGAGCCACAGTGTGGGGCAGCCATGGGGCAGCCACAGAACAACCAGAGGCTGCAGGCTCACCTTCCCTAGCAGAGCCCTGCTGATCACGCAGCTGTGCCCAGGCATGGCCCCCTGGTGACCGAAGGGGAAGGCCAGGGGACACAGCCTGGGGGGCCCCCGGGGCTCAGGTTCTCCCCAGATGACAGGAGATCCTGCTGGCAGTTTGCAGGACTCCAGGCTCTCCATCAGAGGAGCCCACCTGTGCTGCAGAGAAGGGTGTGCTGGAGGCTTCTCAGGCACTTACCCAGGTGCAGTGGTGTGTTCCCCAGCCCATCTCGCTGGTTGGGATCAGCCCCATGGTTCAGAAGCAGCTGCACTGGAAACAGGAAAACCCACGAGGAGCTGTTGGAGGACTTCTATGGACTGGACCCTAACCCCCATCCCTAACCTAGCTAAAGAGGCTTCCTCAAAGTGTGGGACACTGAAAGCAACATGGTTCTCTATGTTGTTTTGTTCATTCATTCAGTCATTCATTTATTCATTCGCTCACTCCCTCATAGGGTTTATGTGCAGGACTCTTGAAGGCCAGGGACCGAGGATTCTGGGAGAGCCTTCTGGCCTATGCAGGACTACGAAAGGAATGAGCTTTTAAGCATTAAAGAAAGTTCTTTCTTTTTCTTTTTCTTTTTTTAAAGATTTTATTTATTTTTTAACACAGAGAGAGAGACAGCGAGAGAGGGAACACAAGCAGCAGGGAGTGGGAGAGGGAGAAGTAGGCTTCCCGCGGAGCAGGGAGCCCGATGTGGGACTCGATCCCAGGACCCTGGGATCATGACCTGAGCCGAAGGCAGACGCTTAACGACTGAGCCACCCAGGCACCCCTAAAGAAAGTTCTTTCAATAGCAGTGGCTGCTAGTGAAGGTTCTCAAGGACACTTTCTACTCTTTCCACAGCCAAGTACCACAGTGGGAATCAGGGATGATGCTGATCATCCCCCTCCCTGAGTCTCTATGCCACCTCTAGGGTGGGCTATGGTGTCGCCAGGGCACATCAGTTATCCAGATGAACGTGCAGGTAGACTAATGCACATGACGTGGCCAGGCTGAGCCGCACACCATGCACAGAAACAAATGTGAGACGCATCACAGACCTACATGTGAAAGCTCTAAGTCCGGCTTGTAGAAGAAAACAAGACTATATCTCCACGACCTTGGGATAGGAAAAGATTTCTTAAAGAGGTCACAGAAATGTCAACCATAAAAAAGAAAAGATGGACACATTGGATTCATTAAAATTAAGAACTTGGGTTCATCAAGACACCACTCGGAGAACAAGGCAAGATCAGAAAAGTTAAGTCATTTATATTTGATAAATGATTTGTATCCAGAATATATAAAGAATTTCTACAAATCAATAATTAAAAAAGACAACCAGGCAGCTTGTTTTAAAACGTGGACAAAGTTTAAAAAAAATAAAGATAAGATTAAAATAAAACGCGGACAAAAGACTTGAACAGGAACTTCACAAAAAAATATACAACAATGGCCAATATGTACAAAAGAGGCTACAAAAATGGCCAATATATACATGCTCAACATTTGGGGCCACAAGAGAAATGAAAATTAAACCACAATGAGATGCCACATGCCAGAATGGCTAAAATTCAAAAGAGACAATACCAGGCACCAGCAAGGCTGGGAGAAAATGTGGAACTCTTACACTGCTGGTGGGAGTGTGTACTGGGACAGCCACGAGGGGAAACAGGGTGGAAGTACGTACTACAGCTAAATGTACTTTTTCCCTGGTGAGCCAGCAACTCCACGCCTGAGACAATAGCTAACACAGTTAAATGCTTATACCCACAAGTCGCAGGTACAAGAATGTTCCCAACAGTGTATTCATAAAAGCCCAAACCTGGAAACCATATAAACGTCCATCAACAGTAGAATGGGTAAACTGTGGGACATCACACAATGAAATACCATCCAGCAAGAAGAAAGAAGAAACTCCTGATACAAACAACATTCAGGGATGTAAGTTTGAGTGAAAGAGAATACAAAAGAGTACATACTCTATGCTTCCATCTATGTGAAATTCAAAACCAAGAAAACTCATCTATGTGAACAAGGTCTACACCGGGGTAAGGACTGGAAGGGGCATCAGTAGGCTGCTGGGGTGCTGAAACTATTCTTTCTTCTTTCTTTTCTTTCCTTCCTTCCTTCCTCCCTCCCTCCCTCCCTTCCTTCCTTCTTTCTTTCTCTTTCTCTCTCTCTTTCTCTCTTTCTTTCCTTTTCTTTCTTTCTTCTTTCTTTCCTTTTCTCTTTCTTTCTTCCTTTCTTTTCTTTCTTTCTTCTTTTATTCCTTCCTTCCTTTTTCTTTCTTTCTTTCTCTCTCTTTCTTTCTCTTTCTCTCTCTCTCTCTTTTTCTTTTTTTTAAAGTAGGCCCTACACCCAACATGGGGCTTGAATTCATGACCTTGGGATCAAGAGTCACATGCGCTAATGCCTGAGCGAGCCGGGTGCTCCTGAAAATAATCTTTTTTTTTCCATTTTAAAGATTTTATTCATTTATTTGACAGAGAGAGACACAGCAAGAGAGGGAACACAAGCAGGGGGAGTGGGAGAGGGAGAAGCAGGCTCCCCGCTGAGCAGGGAGCCTGATGTGGGGCTCGATCCCAGGACCCTGGGATCATGACCCGAGCCAAAGGCAGATGCTTAACCGACTGAGCCACCCAGGCACTCCTCCTGAAGATAATATCTTGTTCCCAGTGGTGGTAATGCCGGGGCATAGATACAGAAAGCTCACCGTTTATAAGTTATACCACATGCGAAAAGGACTTTAAAAAGGGGGAAGGAGGTTTGTCCTGCTGGTGCCCTTGACTCTGAGTAAATGTTGCCTGAATGTCTTGAAGGTCTGGCCCCAAGCCTGGCTGTGCAGACAGCAGATCTTCCCCCAGCACCTCTGGAGAGATGCTCCTCGGCCAGCCCTGTTCCCTCCCTCCTGCCCAGGACTCACCGATCTGGTCGTTGCCATTGCAGGAGGCGAAGTGCAGAGCTGTGCGGCCCTTGTCGTCAGCTGCGCAGGGATCGGCGCCATCTTCCAGAAGCTGCTGCACTGACACCACCAAGACAGAGGGGCAGGGGGACAGAGAGGCAATGCTAGCTAAGTGGCAGCCCCCAGGGCGTGAAGAGGGATGCTCAGGGGCACTTCCCGGCAAGGCATTGAGAAGGCAGGGGAGAGCTCTTCCCGCCTGGATGCCGGCCTCACAGGAGATGCCAAGACAAGGGACTTGTTCTCCTGAAGGCATGACTGAGGACCACAGATTCTGGCTGCTCAAACTCTGAGTCTAGGGACAGAACATCATAGAAGGGTCTTGGCCCTCAGAGTCAGGAGTTCTAGAGTCACAGAAATCCCGAGCACAGACTCTGGCCTCACATCTACTTGGATACACATCCATTCCAGTCGGACACAGCTGCCTGAGCTGTTGGGCAATGCCTCCTTTGCTCCTGGGAGGTGGCCCGCTGGAGAGGCCAGAGTGCAGATGTGGAGCCGCACCGACTAAGTCCCAGGCTAAGCTGAGTAATGAAGAAAGGAGTATGTTGCCAACAGCATGGGGCAGTGGAAAGAGCTGGGCTGGGAGTAGGAAGCCCTGAATTTGGGTCCCAATTCACCAGCAAATGGGAATAATCGCCCTGCCCATCTCCAGAGCTGCTATGATGAGAATAATGGATGTGAAATGCCTTCTCTGCAAAACATGGAGCCATTATCAACTGTGAGGCATTACGTGCCACATGCGTATGTTCAACTGAAATGTAGAAATTGCTGCCAAACATCATTTTAGAGCCACCAACAGTTTAGTCTCCGCCAGCAAATCTCTCGGGGACTCCAGACAAAGCCCAGAATCCCCTCCTCCTCTTTCTCCTCAGGCTCAGGTGGCCACTCCAGCTCCCGCGTCTCCTCAGGGCCCTGTTCACCCGCTACTCTAACGTGAACAGGCTGTGCCACTTTAGAGCGTTGGAGCGCACGTCGAGCACCAGCCTGGCACCAGGCACCTGTCTGCTAAGCCCCTTGCCCACCCAGCCAAGCATTGTGTCCATTTCACAAACCAGGAGAAGTGTCCCATTCTGTGAAGGGCCCCAGGTACACTCACCCGGCTACCAGGAGGCAAAGGTGGGAATAGAAACCCAGGCTTCTCTAGCTCCAGAACTTCTGCCTCTCCAACTAAATACATAACTTCAGTTTTTCTGGGGGTTTTGTTTTAGAAAAATGGTATCACTTTATATTCTTTGTCTCCAATTCTATCATTTTGTTTATCTTAATGCCTAGGATCAGCTGTTCAGCTGATGTTCAGCTCCATGAACGCTGTTGACTGATTGAAGAAATGAATAAAGGTGGTAGGAAAAGGTTTATGAGAGTGGAAGAGAAAGAAGAGCTTCCGGTCAGCTCAGTACGTTCACCAAAAGCTAGCCGGCCAAAGAGATAAGAGAAAGCTAAAAGAGTCCCCTCTCTGTTAGGACTTGTGCAGTGAGTCTTCTTGGAAAGCACTTCGAGAAGTCATCAAAATATGCACACCTTTGGATGTGATAACCCCATACCTGGGAAATTATCTTAAAAATGAAAAACTGGGGCTCAGTCGGTTAAGTGCCCGACTCTTGATTTCAGCTCAGGTCATGAGATCGAGCCCCACGTCAGGCTTCATGCTGAGCATGGAACCTGCTTAAGATTAAGATTCTCTCTTAAAAAAAAAAAAAAAAAAAAAGATTCTCTCTCTCCCCCCTTCCCTCTGCCCTCCCCACCAAAAGAAAAACCATGGTGCAAATATATGACTAACTAAATAACTCTTGCTTTGTTCCTCTGAAGGCATAGTGGGCATCCATTACAAATTGTGGTTATAATTGGAGAATGGAATTATAAGGTAATTTCTGCTTTTTACCTTATAAGCTTAAAAAAAAAACATACAGCCATGTTGTCATTCTGTCAACAGGGAAAAAAAGACGTTTCCCTTTTGAAAAAAATGAATGGTTACAAAGACTATGAAAAGTTATGCGGGATACAAAATTGTGTATCCGGCACAGTTTGTAAGCCCATAAAGAAAATTTCTCTGCATAGGAGAAGAGACTAGGATAGTCACCAATCTATTTACAGAGGTTAGTTCCTGTGCTGTTTATGGATGTTTTTCTTGCATATTTCCTTCATCTCCCAAACGTTTTAAGCGGAGCGTTGGTGGTATAGTGGTTAGCATAGCTGCCTTCCAAACGTTTTAAATGATTTAACAATAGCAGGGCATCAATTTTGTGTCCATTACAACTGCTTAACTACACCAAAAACCCAACAAACGTGCAGAGAAGGAAAAGGCAATGCAAACCATGAGAGAAAAGGAGCAGAGCCTAACCCCACAGCCAGGGTCACCAGCAGAGTCCTGCAAGAGCCTGGTCAATCTGAGAGCCATTTAGATTTGAACATGGGTGTGTTAGAGACTCTGACTGGAACATTACAGCATTTCTGTCAAAACACTGAAACCACCATGTGAGTACCTGATTCAAGATGAACTAGGCTTTCTGTGGAAGGGAAGTATAATTCAAATATTCTCCAGCCACACACTAGAGATATTCAAAAGAGAACACTTATCATTTTTCCTTGAAAATCTATCTAGGTTGCTGCTCAAATAGTCCAAAATATTAAAGTTCACGGAAAAGAGACCAAAGTGAAGAGAGCTGGGGTAAGGGAACCATTTTAAGGCCCACAGTTTAACACCCAGCCCCCTGAGGTAAATGACTTCCTCTCCACGCCGGCTGTAAATGGGCTCTCTGATCCCATGGCTCTCAAGCAACGCTCACGTCTTCTCTGTTGACCGTAGCACACCACTACCACCAAAACAGAATGATGTCCACTTGAGGTAGGTAGGATCACAGCCCCCAAGACGTCCATGTCCTAATCCGCAGAGTTTACTGGACATGTTACCTTATGCAGCAAAAAAGACTTTGCAGATATGAATAAGGTTAGGGACCTTGAGCTGGAAAGATCATCGTGGATTATTCAGGCCCAAACTAATCACATGAGTCCTTAAAATCAGAGCACATTTCCCTGCCGTGTGAACCAGAGACACAGCAGTGTGAGGACTCAGTCAACTGTTGCTGAAGATGGAGGGAGAAGACTATGAGCCACGGAGTGTGCGTGGCTCCTAAAAGCTGGAAGAGGCAGGGAAACAGGGTCTCCCCTAGGACCTCCAGAAAGAAATGCAACCCTGTTGACATCTTGCTTTCAGCGTGGTGAGACCTGTGTTGGATTTCTGACCTCCAGAATTATGTGCTAAGAAATTTGTGTTGTTAAAAAATAATAATAATAAATATTTTTAAAAAGAAATTTGTGTTGTTTTAAACCACAATGTGTGTGGTAATTTGTTGCAGCAGCCGTAGAAAACTCAGATCTGGATAAAATTACAAGTTTTCCCCTAGAACTTGTCCTTGTACCTCTGATGCTGCTACTGTCCTGTCAGCCAATGAATGCTGGGGAGCAACAACAGAAAACCAGAGTGGCGTCCTGCTGCGAGCCCCTCCCATTCCCGTCCAAAGTTCTGTCAACTTAAACAACCACTGGCCCAACTACCACAAAGCCTCGGTGAGCAGTTGAAGGTGGTGGCTCTCTTCCGACAGTGGCTCTGCTGGCAGCTAAAGCTGACTGTCCATTCCCAGGACCCGGAAGTTCTAAAAAGCTCCTACCCTGCTGCTGGCTGCCAGGGACACAAAAGCAGACATGGTCCCAACATCAAGGAGCCCACAGAGTGATCAACACTATGACGTCAGGAAGTTCAGGGTGACAGAAAAGCACGGGAAGAGGAAGCATCTAAGTCAGACTTATCTTCTGAGACATGATTACAGTTATAGAATATATACCATGAGCCTAGTCCACAGGGTGAGCGGGCATAGTGAATTCAAGCACTGTCTTCCCAGGAATGGGTTGCCCGGATTTTGCTTTCCCTAACCAGCCCACAGAGCTAGACCTGGCTTTGCACACTCACCTGTTTCCACATCGTTGGCATTGGCCGAGTCCCTCAGCCTCTTCAGAGCTGTGAAGAGAGGAAAAGAGTTCCAGTTAAAAACAAAAATAAAACAGTCATGATGAAGCTGAAAGTGGATGGCTGCCTAGTTAATCCATAGTTCACCCATGACAGCATCTAAAGGGAAAGAAAGGCACCAGGATACAAGAGACACTGGGAACAAGGAAAGACTGGAAACGTGGCAGAGCCACATTCTGTAGCAAATCCTTCAAGGCCTCTGGAGCCAGATCTTGGCTCTGCCTCTTATAGTAGCTGGGTGACCTTGAGCAAGTGAGTTAACCCTCCCGGGCCTCAGGTTTATCATCTGAAGGAAAAAAAAAAAGTTGAGCCCTGACCTAACAGCCTGGAGTTGTTGTAAAGACAAAATGAAATGTTTAGATTGAAGCTCTGTTAGTCGGTTACACAGATAATCTTAGATTCTCCAAAAGAGGCCATTCCCAAATAACTACTTAAATTTGGTAATTCCTAAGCAGAAACGTTTTTCTACTACAATGACACTACCTCTGTATTAGAGGCTAATAGAGAACAATGCCTTTGTCATTGGAGAAATGGTCAAAATTGCAACCCAGATACATTTAATGATTCCTTACTTTTGTATAGCACTTTATGGTTTATATAGCACTTTCAAAATCTCATTTAATCTCTACAGCATCACTAAGATATGGGCGGAATCACAGAGAGTCCTAAAGGGGACACTAAAAAGCCCCATTCTTAAATCTTTCAGGGCCTTGGTTTCCATGTCATCCACAACATGTGAAAGACAATACAGTGGACATAAAAGAACAGGAGTTTGAGTCTGGCAGAGGTGGGTTCTGATTCCAGCACAGCCACTTAACTAGCTCTGTAACTTGGAGCAAGGCAATCTCTCCGAGCCTCAGTTTCCTCTTCCATATAATGGGGACAGTATCTGGATCTCATTGAGTTACTGTGAGGATTAAAAATGATCACATACCACCCAACAGTGTTTGTCACACAACAAAAGCGGAATAATCGCTACGGATTCATCACCTTACTTAACTCTGGCAACGTCCCTGTAAAGCAAGTATTGCACTCATTTACAGACGAGAAAACTAAGGCTGAAAGAAAGGTTCTACAGTTTGCCCGAGGCTTCAACGAGGTAGAGGAGTCCAATCCCGGTCTGTGCATTTAAACAAGTTGGTAGAACTTGGCTACAGGCTCTGGCCTCCCTTCTCTGATAATAAAAGCATTCGCCAGTACCCCAACCTTTTTTTTTTTTTTTTTTGATCTACTAATAAACGCCTGGAATCACGAAAAGTTTCTATTCAGGAATTACCAAGTGCTTCAAGACCGTCTCTTTCACATTCACGGTCCTTAGCCGCTCTACATCCTGATTACTACTAGAAGGAGCCTCAGGGGTCACTGTGGGCCCGGAGCTCAGTCGTGCGAGTACCCCGTCCTGGTCGGGGTCAGGGGAGGTCAGGGCCCCGCCTCCCGCCGCGCTCCTCACCGTGCACCTCCTTGCCCGTGGGCCCGAGCCGCCGGTGGGGCCTGGCGGCGCGCCTCAGCCGCCCGGCGGGGATCTTACAGCGCAGCTCATCGCGGGGCTCCGCGTCCTGCTGCCACAGGACATGGAGGTAGCGCAGCGGGGACTGGGCCCCGCCAGACGCCCGGCCCGGGAGGCCCGCGCCGCCGCCCAGCGCGGAGCCGAAGTCCGCGAAGGAGAAGAGGCCCTCGGGGCCCGTCAGCGGCTCCGGCGCCACGGCGCACTCGCCCTCCGAGCTCGAACGGCCCGAGCGCGGCTCGTCATCCGCGCCCCCGGCGGCGGCTGCCATGGCAACGGCTCCGCGCGGGCCTGGCCGCCGGAGCCTCGTTCCCGACCGACCAACCGACCCGCTTCCTCCGCCCAAAGCCTCGCTGTCAGCGGGCGAGCGGGCGGGTCCGGCCTGCAACTACGGCAACCGAGCGAGGGGCGGGCTCCCGTCTCCAACAGCCAACCGGGCATAGTTCGGGCGAGAGACTTGAGTTCCGGCAGCATGATTGACGGACCTAAGAACCAATCACAAATTTGAACCGCCCACGCCCTCGCCGTACGTCCCCACCGGAGCCAATAAAACAGCTAAATTTATGACACTCTCTCTGTCTTCCCCCCACCCATTTCCCCCCATCGGGTCCTGGAAAAGATAACGGGCAGATGCCTTAACCAATAACGTTAAGATAATCTGCAGCCAATCACTAAGGAAAACGAAGAAGGTGCACTGTAGGGGTAAATACAGATACATTTTAAAGCAATGAACGTAAATAAAGGACTTCCTGGTGGGAAGTGCATAGTGTGACTAGGAAAGTGAGGGTCAGACTCGACGCTCGCTGAGGTGCTCACAGCCCTATGGGAGAGGACGGAGCCGCCAACACGGAAGGGTTCCGTGCGCGGTGGATGAGCTTCGCAACCCCTCTGACAGCCAGTACCCTATAAACACTTCTCTAAGGTGGACAAGGAAGACCATCCCTATTCTACAGATGAGGAGTTGAAGCAAGAGAGACAAGGGACTTGTTATGGATGCCCAGCTCTCTTCGGACCAGGGCTTTTGTCCAGGAGAAGTTCTTCCTTCTCATTCAACCCAGTAAAAATATAATCTTTCTCTGACAGTTGAAAACCACTTTCAAAATTTGTAGTGCTCTCAGAACACCACTGTGAGGTTTCTCATGGTACTGTATGGAGACAAACGCTGTCTATTTGATCTCCTCTGCCCCGTAACAGGTAAGTACATATATGCCAACTCCACTTGTAGCTACAAGGAAACCGAGGGAAGAAATGAACACTGAATATGTGTCATATTCCACATACCAAGTGCTTGATATATATTATACCATTTATTTCTCCCTTACAAGAACCTTAGCAGGTAGATATTATTATACCCACTTTGCCAATCAGGAAATTGAGGTCCTGAGATGTTCCTTCCCCCCTTGCACAGGGTTAGAGAGTTGAAGAACTAGGATTTGAGCCCCCAGAAGTCCTCTCTTTCCGTCACACTGTTGTCTTTAATGAAGAGCCTGCTGGGAACCTGGTTCCAGAGAGTTTAAGTGACATCTGGGTATTTATACTTTACTCCTGCTGAATGTACCTGGAAATAATTTCATTACTCATTCCTCCTCTTTTTCCACGTAATAACCTCCCAAGTCGTCTTCATCCCTCCAGTCTGTCTTTGTAGAACTCAAGATGCACCTGGTGGCTAAGGCACAATTCTCTTCGCATCTGTAGGATTTGTCTACTCACTGAGTTCAGGTTTAAAGTGCAAACCTTTATCCTAGCAGTTAGCCATTGTATTCCTCCTACTAGTGGGGCTGGGCCTCAGTCAATCTAGTCTACTAAATATGTGTGCATTGGCACAGTCTTTTCATTTGAACAGGATCGCTAAACATTTAGAGGTGATTGTCACTTCTCATTTTTAAATCAACTTTATTGGGGCGCCTGGGTGGCTCAGTCAACTGTTAAGCGTCTGCCTCTGGCTCTGGTCATGATCCAAGGGTCCTGGGATCGAGCCCAGCATTGGGCTTCCTGCTCCGTGGGAAGCCTGCTTTTCTCTCTCCCACTCCCCCTGCTTGTGTTCCTGCTTTCGCTCTCTCTCTCTCTCTCTCTCTCTCTCTGTCAAATGAATAAATAAAGTCTTTAAAAAAATAATAAATGAACTTTGTTGAAGTATAAATTACATAGCCCAACCTTCTGTGTGTTTCAAGAACCACTTGTTATTTGGATTTGAAGAATAGGGTGTGGGTTGAATATGAATCCAGTTAGCCTCAGCCTCCGGGCTTTAGACTGGAACTTGAACCGTATTCCCCCATAATGCCTGGCTTAGCATCTGGCACCACCACACTGTAACTATTTGATTGACTGACTGACCTATTCATTGAATGAAGGAATGAATGAATGAATGAGTTAATGATATGGTTATCACAAGACTAAATGATAGGATGTGAGTAAAACACAGAGCTTGGTACAGAACTAGTGCTCAAAAATGGTAGCTAGTGCTATTATTATAATAAATAAGGGTAGAATGCAGGCTAGGGTCCATGCAAATCCTATGCAACAGTGGGCCCATCACACTGGCTCAAACTTTTACCTAAGGGTACTACAAGCATTCATACTAGTCATTTTTATTTGGTTAGTCAGCAAATAAAACATGAAGCACTTGGTGGGAGACAAAGGAAATACTTATATTTGCCTTTCGGAAAAAGCTTCTACCTGGGAATCCAGGGACTTGGGGTCAAAGTCCCATCTGGCCCAAACTCACCTCGTGGTGTGGGGTTAAGTGTTTCCTTTCTTTAGGCCTCAGTCTTCCTGTAAGAAGGTATTGTTCTAGGTCAGACAGTGACACTGGCTCAGGCTAGATTCAGTAGGACTTTCCTTTCATTCTTTCCCTCATTCTGTTGGCCTTCACAGTATTTTAGAGAAATTTGAACTGATTGCCAACATTTAAAAATTCAGAGCTTTCGGGCGCCTGGGTGGCTCAGTCGGTTAAGCGACTGCCTTCGGCTCAGGTCGTGATCCTGGAGTCCCGGGATCGAGTCCTGCATCGGGCTCCCCGCTCAGCGGGGAGTCTGCTTCTCCCTCTGACCCTCTTCCCTCTCGTGCTCTCTCTCTCTCATTCTCTCTCTCTCTCAAATAAATAAAATCTTTAAAAAAAAAAATTCAGAGCTTTCACAGACATTTTTTAAATTTCCAGCTTCTTTTAAAAATGGGGAGATACAGCAATACAGGACCCGCCCTCCCACATGGCAACAGATGGCTGGAGCTGCAGAGCAACTTTCCCCTTTAGATGGGACATGGTGTTGTGGCTTGCCACAGTCCCCACCACTCCCTGTTGAGGCTTAAAGGCAGTTGCCATTTATCGCCATATTGTGCTGTTGTTTTTCTTAGGCAGAGTTAGCAGGAAATGAATATATTTCTTGTCTTCATTAAACGTGGAATAATGAAAACTAGTGTGGAGGGAAATGATCTAGTATCTGAAAATATGTTTTATGGTGATTGCGTGACTTTTTAATATCATGCTAGAGAATTGCTCGTAAACCCACATAAGAGCCATCTGACTCTCTGGGGAAATTTAACTTTGACTAGCAATTGATTAGCATCCAGTGATGTTTTCTAACTCTGTAAAGTTACAAGTTAGCTTGTAGGAAACTGATAAGATGCAATAATTTTTGCATGTCTGATGAAGGAAATAATCCCAAAGATTACAGTTGTATTATCCTATAGGACATGAAATATGATCAGCAATCATAACTCAGTATTCTTTACTCTTCCCAAATTCTTTCCAAACCAGCTCTGTCATACTGTTAGTTCCTTCATTAACAATTAAATATGCTTGCTCTTTATTGGTATGAGAATTATTTCTTTAATTTCTTAAAGGTATTAATCTTTTGACAATGACATTTTTAACAATGTGAGAATTGTTCTTTTAGACTAGAGACAGCCCTGTGTTTTCAGAAATGTAAGTGATTATTGGGGTGCCTGGGTGGCTCAGTCAGTTGAGGGTCTGACTTTTTTTTAAAAGATTTTATTTATTTATTTGACAGAGAGACACAGCGAGAGAGGGAACACAAGCAGGGGGAGTGGGAGAGGGAGAAGCAGGCTTCCCGCCACGCAGGGAGCCTGATGCAGGGCTCAATCTCAGGTCCCTGGGATCATGACCTGAGCCGAAGGCAGACACTTAATGACTGAGCCACCCAGGCGCCCCAAGGGTCTGACTCTTGATTCAGGCTCAGGTCGTGATCTCGGGGTCCTGGGATCAAGCCCCATGTCAAGCTCCAAGCTCAGTGGGGAGTCTGCTTGGGGATTTTCTCTCCCTCTCCCTCTGCCCCTTCCCCCCACCCTGCTCATGGTCTCTCTTTCGCTCTCTCTCAAATAAATAAATCAATCTAAAAAAAAAGTGATTATTTATTGTGTTAAAAAAGAGACAACAGGGGCACCTGGGTGGCTCAGTCGGTTAAGCATCTGCCTTTGGCTCAGGTCATGATCCCAGGGTCCTGGGATCAAGTCCCACACTGGGCTCTCTGCTCAGTGGGGAGGCTGCATCTCCCTCTCTCTCTGCCTCCCACTCTGCCTACTTGTGCTCTCTCTCTCTAATAAATAAATAAAATCTTAAAAAAAAGAGAGAGACAACAGGTCCCAAAGGGAGTTCCTTGTACTAAGCCCTACATCAGCAAACCAAAACTTAATACCTAACCTAACTGCAGCTTCAAACCCACCCTCCACCCCCCAGAATGTAGCCTTTAACCAGTCACCATAGGGTTACCTGGTGAGCACTAGTGAAATAATCTGCCAGATAGAGCCCTTCTGTTCTCCTTAGGAAGGAGACCTTGCCTGCAAGTATACATTCTTTGCAAATAATTTCTTTTTACTGTCCCCTTTCTGCTTTAAAAAAATTTTTTTTAATTTACATTATTTCTCTTAAAGTTATAAATCTTACTTTTTTAAAAAAGATTTTATTTATTTGAGAAAGGAGAGAGAACACAAGTGGGGGGAGGGCCAGAGGAGTGGAGCTGACACAGGGCCCAATCCCAGGACCCCGAGATAATGATCTGAACAGAAATCCAGAGTCAGACAGTTAACCGAGCCACCCAGACAACCCCCACCTTCTGCCTTCTAAAACTTTTCCTTTCCTTTTTTTTTTTTTTTAAGATTTTATTTATTTATTTGACAGCGAGAGAGAGACACAGTGAGAGAGGGAACACAAGCAGCGGGAGTGGGAGAGGGAGAAGCAGGCTTCCCACCGAGCAGGGAGCCCGATGAAGGGCTCGATCCCAGGACGCTGGGATCATGACCTGAGCCAAGGCAGACGCTTAACGACTGAGCCACCCAGGCGCCCCAAAACTTTTCCTGGGCAAGAACAATAGTCTTTTTTTTTTTTTTTAAAGATTTTATTTATTTATTCATGAGAGA